ATTGAATGTGTTTAATTGTATAGTAAAGGGGTTTAACGTTAGTGGCAGGTTGTGTGTGAGAGAGAATAAATAAATAAGACATCCCAATATTTATTTTTTCCGCATATTTTGCAACTTCCCACAATTTCACCGCATAAAACCACATAAAACCCTGCATGTTTGATCACATAATCAAGGATTTTAGCCTATTTTTGGGTCTAGATTAGAGGTAGGTGCGAAAGAACGCAGACACAGACTGAAGCTAGCAGCAGAGCTGAGCGGCAGAGCCATACATGTGTTAAGCCGAAGTTCAATAAAGTTTATAAGTTGCAAAAACACCACGATTTTATGATCCAATTCTATCAGTTTCCCAGTTACACAGGGACGCGGGAAGTCAGTCAGAGTTGGGGGTGCGTGCAGCGTCTCGCAGCGGAGTAACTGGTGCGGAGGGGGGGCTGCGAGTGGAGCCTCGCAGTGTTTCAGGTTGATATGTGAAGCTCATTAGCAAGCCAACATGTACAGGGTATATGCAGGAATCCTGAAGTCAAATTTAATACTTTTTAAGACCCGTTCCATACATTTTAAGAACTCATCGCAACTTCGAGTTCTAACCGGTTACATTGGCGACACACTTTACCTCACATTTACTATATTGATTGTAAGATAGCACAACTAAACAGAGTGCAGACAGACTACTGAAGCCTCCTCTCCACATGAACTTAAACCTCTCTGTGAAGGTCAGGTTTAATGCAGGATGCTGCTTTGTTGCTTCTGTACTCTTTCATTCCAGTAAAACTCCTCAGAAACCATTAGAAACCAGTATTTGACCAATAAACAAAAAACAATTGACAAAACTTTGAACTATGAAATATATTAAACTTTGGTGAGCTTCAGCGGGGTAATGCCATATAGGAGCTCCCTCACAAATACCCAGGAGTTAAATTGGGCTGGGGCTGTCCGGGGCTAAGCCCGGCACATAGGACGATGCTCTGACGCAGAGATGTTCACAAGTCTTTTTTTGCAAGTCCAAGTCAAGTCTCAAGTCTTTGGTCACGAGTCCAAGTCAAGTCTCAAGTCTTTGTGGGGTGAGACTTGATCAAGTCTCAAGTCTTTGGTCACGAGTCCAAGTCAAGTCTCAAGTCTCTAAAAAATAAAAGTCTCATGTCTCTTCTGGTTGTAATAAGCCTTCTATTGTCTGCTGCTATCCAGTCTGTTAAGAATACTGCACAGCTATATCTAAGAAATTCAAAGCATGTACTGTATTATTATCACTCCTATATCTATTAGCATACAGTATCAGTACTGATTAGTTGTTTGTTATATGATCACTTTAAACAGGCTATTGCAATGCAATATGAGGAAAAACATCACACTTTAGCTAAATGCAAACAACTTATAAGCAAAACAATTCAGAATCAGAATCACAAATACTTTATTAATCCCCCGCAGGGAAACTGTGTTAAAAGTACTTAAAAGTAAACATTTGTTCTGTGCCATTTGCAACTAAAAAACTATTGCTGCAATATTATCTGAAATATACTGAACTGGTGATATTAAAACATGACCTGTTCCAAAAGAGATATCTACCATTAACACCATTTACCAGCCAAATGCTGGTAAATCATGCAAGTGGCTGGTACTGTATGTTGCACGCACCAGCCAAAAATAACAATGGCAATCTATTGAGTGGCTGGTAACATTTCAACATTCACTAGGCTAGCCATTTGGCCAGTGGACAAAAATGTTAAAATGTGACCTCTGCAACCGTATTGTTTAATTACACTGGGTCTCTAATGACATCTTTTAAGTCTACTATAAATAAACATATTCCTCTATCCTCTCACTCAAACCCAGTGTAATGGTAACCTGATAAACCTGTAACATTAACGTTACGTGGTCAACAATAAACCTGTAACCTGCCTATAAACCGACAGATGTATTTATGTATGTAACTATGTATTTTTCTACGTTTAACGTTAGCCAGTAGATGGTGGCAGCGGAACGTAATGATTAACGTTACCGACCTTTTTTATGTCATGTCAAGAGTTGGATGTCAACGCCACTCAACGCAAACAAGTGTGACAAGCAAACATTCACTCATCTTTTCAAATATTCAGTTACAAAGCTAGTAGCAAGCTAAGTTAACATGACATAGCTGATGCTGAGCTAAACATGTTTGCTAACCGTCCATATGCGTTAATGTGACTGACCTCTCCGGGTGAGTTTTCAAGTGCCTGATGAAATGTGACGTTGTTGCACCAGCATCCTTGATTTTAATATTGCAGACTTTGCAGTGTGCGCTCCTTTTGTTGGTGCCGCCGGCGTTTTGTTCGAAGTTTTTATAGTTGAACCTAATTACAAGCGGTACAGCTGCAGGTGTCCCGCCGGTCGCCATGGTGTTACCATGATGTTAATGTTAAAGGTGTGGTAGGTAAGTTTGAGAAACCGGCTCGAGATACACTTTTTGTTATATTCCATGGAATGCTCTTAACATCCCGATAGCCAGTAACTGGATGGCCTACCTGCCTGTCAGCCTTCCATCGGGGCACAAACTTATCTCGTGCCCTCATTGGTCATGTGTGCGTTCGTGTGTGTTGGAGGAGGGGCTCTGTGAGGAAGTGGCAGATTTTCTCCGGTTGTGTATTTTCAAATTCTAGCGATCTCGAGCTGGTTTCTCAAACTTACCTACCCCACCTTTAATACGCCAAAAATAGAAAACACAATGATTGTTCACGAGTCCCAAAACACGAGTCCAAGTCGAGTCTGAAGTCTTTTGAGCAGGAGTCCAAGTCAAGTCTGAAGTCTCTGTGTGTGCGACTTAAGTGCGACTCGAGTCCGAGTCACAGACGTCATCACCCTCACACATTTTTCATATGTTTACAAAAAACGATATATACGTTAAGACTTTTCTCGTTCTTAATATAGACTATATTTAGGGTCGATATGTGTTGACCTTACTTTAAAATAGCAGATCTCTGTGACTGGATATAGTTTGGCTTAGACCCCGGCCCCACGAGGACGCATACAGTAAAACGCATACGCAAACGCAAAAAAGTCTTCCATTCACACGCATTCGATTCATTAACGTGTCCGTTCACACTAGACCGCTGGAAATGCTGGAAACGCTGTAGTACATATGCCAGGCCTGTAAGTGGCGCTGCTGCCGCCACAAAATACACCAAAAGCAGCGAAGAAGACCCCGGAGCATGGTTGTCCTTCTGTTTATTCTCCGCGGTGGACGCTGGACGGCGTGTTCTCCTGCTGTATATCTCTCAAACTTAAAATAAGAAGCAGCATTTTATGGCACGCTATGCATGGGGCCACCTTGATGGGGTTTCCCGACATGTTGTTTCAGTAAATTAAAGGGTGTTTCACATTGTCGTTGCTGTGGACCTTCTTAATACCTTGGAAAATGCCGTTTAATACTTTTTAATAGCCTTAATTTTCGCTAAATTAAACTTTTAATACTTTTTAAGACCCCGCGGACACCCTGATGTATCTAGCAAATGTTTAGCAAAATATTAGAAGTGAGGCTACTAGACTAACGTTAGGTCTACTGTAATAGCCTCACTTTTAATAGTTTGCAAAACATTAGCTAGCACTAGTGTTTTGCAGTTGCTAGCAGCTTATTGGGATTTTATGCTAGATAGACAGGCATTGTTTTGATATAATAAATTAAGCATTATTGTTAGTTAAGCATGTCAGCCTGCAGCCCCACTTCTTGTCTCTCTCTAACTCATTGCAGATGGCTGCACTAAAGAAAAGGGCACAGAGAAAACCAGTTGTAAGATGTCTAAAAGTTCATTAAACATAATATATGCTTAAATGCATTTCAAAGAAGTTGTGTTATTCTACATTTTGACACCAAGATTTTCTGATTTTACTGCAAATGTATATCGGTTCCAAATATCGGTTATCGGTCTCCTTGATTACTAATAATCGGCATCGGTCTTGAAAAAGCCATATCGGTCGATCCCTAGTTAACAGCGCTAACTCTCCTTCAAAATAAAAGCATGTCCATACAAAATAGGAAGCCAAGCCAAATTACACTTAAGACATATACAACTGCAATGAAAGTAACAATGCAATATCCTTTTCAATTTCAGAGAACACAAATTGGGTTGTGTACATTAACAAATAACTATAAAACAACAATACTGTAGAATAACAAAATGAATGTGAAATACACGTGTTGAAGCGGTTCGCTGCTGATTACTACGCACCCCCCGTGCGGGCCGAATATCCGAATATTCGCTGCTGATTACTACCGAATATCCGGAGCCCGAAAAATGGTATTCGGGACAGCCCTACTATATGTTCCCATCTATTAGTGTATACATACATTCTTTTTTCAAACATTACCTTCTTCATATTTACTTTTGTTAGAATGCCTATTTTCATGTTAGGAATCTTTAAGGTATTGGGTCACACCAGGCAGTGACATCCATCTTTATCTTAATCTGGCGTCCATGTTCTTTAGAGTCTAGACATGTTTTGACTAGAGAGCGAGGCAGATATGTTCATGGTCTAATAGTCGGGTAAATATGCAGAGCAGAATTGACTGGGGCATACAGTGTGAACTATGTACTGTTTTGTAATGACATTCTTGGTAGGCTTTCAATAAACCTTCATTGTTCATCAATCGGTTTTCCAGTGTATTGTTCCAAAGAATTCCCACTACAGATAAGTCATTGTCATTCTGTACAAAATGGAATGGAATGTGATGTGACAAATTGCATTCTATTTTATTGTATTTACTTGCACTATTTTACCTGTTTTATTGTGTTGCACTGTTGGAGGAGCCTGTGACTTAAGATTTTCATCGACATAACTACTCTGTAGCTATGTTCGAATGACAAAAGCCTTGAATCTTGAATCTATATATGCATTGTGTATGAAATGGTAAAGTTGACCTTAGGAAGAACAACTGCTGCAAGGAACAGCTTATAGGGGGTACAAACAGAGTGCAAGGCTAGATAGTTGACATCATGCCATCAGTCAAGCATACAGTAGTGTCTCACCTTTCTTCTTGATCTTGGTGGGTTTGGGTGGTTTCATGTTGCCGACTACTTTCTCAGCATTGACCTCAGACAGGAGGCCTTCTTGCTGCTCCTCTTCAAAGTCATAGACACTGACGTCAATGTCCTTATCTCCTTCAGCGTAACGCAGGCTACTCTTACCCTGGACAAACCAACAGACAAGTCATTAGTCCTCACCAAGAATCACATGTCAACACATAGTCTCAAATCTCAGTAACAAAGAAAGCTATACAACAAACATATCTAACCTTTTTGAGCTTTCTAAGAGCTGTAGATGGGGGTTGATAGTCGGGGTCTTTAGCCCAGCTTGGGTCCTCGTTTTGAGGCTGAATGTGTTCATCCTCCACCTCTTCCAACATCTGGTTCCCCACCTCCTCGTCATCCTGCTCTTCAGTTGGGGCTTCTCCCTCCTCCTGCTCCACTGTCTCAACCTCTCCATTAGCTCCAACCTTCACCACCTGCACAGCATTCATCAATTGGTCAACTGATCACCGTGTACATGTGTGACTATTAAAGGTTGATTAAATTCTAGTCCTCCATTTATAATAAGTTAAGGTAAGCTAATTAACTACTGTAGTGGAGATTTAACATTTCATAAAAACGTTTGTGTAACACACATGAAATAGATTTAGATTGATCCAACATGAGCAGGATCCTCTGGAATTTTAAAGTCAGTTATCTATATTACAATAATAATTTTATGTAAAGGCAATTCAACCCTTTGTCTAACAATAATGAGGTTTATGAAATGTAATTCAATTTGGTTGAGTCCTTAATAACAATGAGTATGTCCGTGTATGTGTACCTGAAAGCCCTCGGGCAGTGGCAGAGTGTGGCAGATGACGGGGTCGCCGTCCTTTGGCATAGCAGTAGTGTCTACAAAGGTGCCTTGCTGCAGGGCCTCCACAGTGGAGGCAGAAACAGGAACCTGGACCAGCTGGAGCTCGCCCAGACCCAGAGCTGCCTGCTCCTCCATGTTCACCACCTGAGAACAAAGAGGAGGTAGGAACACGTGTCCAATAGAAATAACCGGAGGTTGCTATCATGCAAAATTAAAAAGAGCACCTACCTGTAGTGTGATGATTTGAGTCTGGTCCACTGTTGTTACAGTTGCTTGGTGAGCAGCACCCCCTACTGATGGCCCCCCCACTGCAGCATCTATCACCTGCAAATCAACCTCATATTTAGGCTTCTGAAATGTTAGGCCTAGAACACATTCTAAAATCACATTAAGTCTCCTCAGTTCAAAAGATTTCTGATTTGACCTCTGCTACATTTTAAAGAACACCTATCATGCTATATTTGAACAATATATTGTAGGGCCATACCTATATAAAGTATATAAATATAGTGTTTTTTTTCAAAATACCAAACAGATCCTGCATTTTAGCCATGCCTCATTTCGCTCTATTTGCTCTTTCCAGCGCTGTTTTTGCAGGGGGCTGATTCTGTGTGCTGCAGCTGACCACGCCCCCCTGCAGGAGAGGGGAGCATGCTCTGAGATCAGCTGCTAGGCTGCAGCGGGGAGAAGAGGGGGAAAAAAAGAGATCTCCGTCCACCGTGTTTTATTCTTATAGAAGTAAGAAGAGAAGTAATGGGGCAGAAACCCTCCTTTTTACGCAGCGGTCCAGACTAGACATCAAACGGCGACACATATTCAGTTGCCAGTTACTTTGGCATTAGGGCAGGGATATCTAGATACTTTCCAAGGTTTGACATAATGAATACTTTTAAAGCAAGTAACGATGTTTTCAAATCTGTAATCAAAAAGCTCCTCAAAAACACTATCGAAGCAGTTCCTGCCGTTGCTACGTTAGTTCAAACAGTAACAACGGACTACTTTTCTTAGCGGATGCATGTCAATTTAAATCAATACATACAACTATTTTTTAAATCAATAAAATCATTTTCTAAATCCATAAAAGCATTTCAATTAATATTGGGAGTCATGTCGTTACTTTGTTGAGAATGTGGCCATGTGTAATAAGCGGGATAATGTGCACATTGCATAATGTGCCTTCATGCCGATCTAGCTCCTGATCAGCCTGTCGGTGTTCTTTTCCCCATAATGACCGCGTCACTGCACATTATCCCTTACATATAGGGGTGTAACGGTATCCGTATTCGTCCCGTACCGTCACGGTTCGGACGTCACGGTTCGGCACACGCAGTCACACGACGAATACGCCTTTTTTTTTAACCGTTGTACCGAACCGTACCGAACCGTGACCTCCAAACCGAGGTACGAACCGAACCGTGACTTCTGTGAACCGTTACACCCCTACTTACATATGATTATATAGAGTCATTATTCATTTGGTTTAAAGCAGGAGGCGCAAAAGCTTGCCTCGGGGAGGGAGAAAAAGAGCCACAGCAGAGAATAAACAGAAGGGCAACCATGCAAGGGAAGTCTTCTTCGCTGCTTTTGTGGCAGACTACAGCACCACTTACAGGCCTGGCATATGTACTACAGCGTCTCCAGCGCTTTCCAGCAATGGCTGGCCGTGGCCCAACCTCTCATTCCCCTGATAGGTGGAGAATTGACCAATAGCCGTAGCGCCACTTTACTGACGTCAGTAAAGTGTTCAAATCTGGATCAGTCTGTATCAGATCCGTTACAGCCCCTTTTTTAGAGATTTGGGTATGGAGGAAAATAGAGAGGGTTGTGTTTTCTGACACTTGGTGAGTTCCCTGGAACACCAGGGACACATATTCATGTATAAAAGACGTACAAAAGTGCATTTTGCATGATAGGTCCCCTTTAACTTTCCTAAGACTGGGCAGCTATCATTTCATATTAAACACAAAATTATAAATAGTGAGCTTACCTCAGTCTTCATCTGCAGCAAGGTGGGATCCAGGGAGTCCATAACCATCATTTCAACCCCGGCTCCCCCGTCCACACCCACACCAACCTCCATCAGATGCTGATGGGCCTGGTTGGCTGCCATCATCCCTTCCCCGTGACCTGAAACAAAACATCATTATGAATAAAACACATAACCATGTTTTCCACAAAAAAGTGAAATTGAAATCCTATACACTCTGCTTACTTCACATATAGACCGATTTCAAGCTAATGAGCAAGCACCTTGTTCCAGGACTCCTCCATGTCCCTCTAACATGCCGCCGGCCTCTGCAGCCTGCTGGAGGAGGTCAGCCACCATGGCATCCTGGCTGTGAACGGCCTGGATGGAGGGCACCTCCATCCCCCCTACAACCTCTGTTGGCCCTCCGTCCATACTGGGTAGGAACTGAAAAATGGCATTGTGAGAATTAAAATGATCTATCAGTGTGTTACATTACCTCTTCAAAAGGCATCAACTAGACACATGTTTGCTTTCGAACAGTGGTGCTTAGTCTGACACCATGGAAGAATTTGGAAATGTTCCTACAATTCCACAAATCCACTAACCGATTAGGATCTTAAAACCGCAGTAGCTCAGTCTGCAGAGACTGGGCTCTGGAACTCGGTTCAAGGCCCTGAATCGACCAAGTAAGGGGGTGACAAATCACATTAAGCCTTACAGAGCTTAGTTCCAGTCTATTGATGCATTTCCATCCCATGGTAAGGCCCTTTTTGACATGACTCTTCTGGTACCAGATACTATGTTTCCCCCTCAGTTAAAATGTGTGGTTCAGATATTCATCACATAAAACTAAGAAGATTTGCTGAAGACATAGCAATAGAAGGATAATCTGCATTGGTAGAAAAAAAGGCAATGTGCGAAGTACTATTAATAACTTTTCTTCACAGATTTGAGTTCTTCCATACATACAGCGGAAACACAGCATGTTCTCTATGCTGTTTGATTAACGACTCATTACTGACTTCTGAACTGAGATTTGTGTAAAAAAGGTGAGTTTGATTGTGATATTTTCATAACAATCGATTAAGGTTGTCAGAACACTTTTGCGCAACAATATATTTTAAATAACTTGATTAAGTAACTGTTTTTTAAGAAGCAAGATTAGGGTAAAAATCTAAATATTAAAAGCAAAAAAAAAACTCGACCTACAGATCGGCACCTTAAGTTTTTCTGCAAGTCCAGAAAAATCTATAGAGGAATCGCCTTAATAAAATTGGAACAAACGTGTTGTTTGTTATACAGCCATGTTGTACCTGTTTTCTTTTGGGGGAGTAAAATATGTAAGCTTAAATTGGATATAATGCAATTGTTTTTCAGTTGGATTACATTTTCAGAATAACCTGGAGCAGTTTTATTTTGATAAATTGGTCATTCAATAGTTTATGTTTTATTATTAACATACTATTAGGCCATTATAAATGAGTTGGTATCCGTACGAGCGCTGTGTTCTTTATACAAGTATTGTATTAAAGTTTTAAATGTTGCGATTGTGAAAACCTTACAACCCAGCGTTGTGAAATGGTTGTCTCTTAACACTAGTGTTACCTTGAATAGCATGGATAAATTGACCCGTAACATGATTTCTGTAGCATGGGCTGATACAGTTGATCTCCTTTTGCTTTCCTGATGACGGCCCTGAGCTTTGCTGAATCAAAAGTCTGCTACCTGACTGTCCCTGACAACCTGAGGGGGAGAGAGAAATGTTACACAGTAGAACATATATTATTCTTCACACATAAGGCACTTTTGCAAAGGAGTACTTTTTGGTTTCACACCAAAAAGATCTGGAACTAGAACCTAGTTCATGTGAACCTTTTCACCTCCAGATAGTTCCTGCTATAGAGGTGGTACTTTCCTGGGGAGGAAAACGTTCCAATTTCTGATTGGCTGGGCGAATTGCAAACCACGCCCGTAAAACTTCGACCAGTGGCCGTCTGCGAGACACAGCGGAACTCAGCCTGGCACACACACACACCCGCAGCCTGGCTGGGAGTTTGTGTGTGTGCTCAGGCTGAGTTCCGCTGTGTCTCGCAGACCCCACACCACTGAGCCAGCTCACAGTGTCCCGCTCCTCGCAGCAGCGAGCCTCGCAACGTCCCGCCGAGTGTGTGTGTGTGAGGAAGTCCGCGGATTGGTCCAAACGTAACGGCTCCGCGGACGTAACATCACTATACCCGAAATACGTCACTATACCCAAGAAGTAAACAATGGAAAAAGAGAAATGTCCAACGAGGCGTTCTGGGGCAGCATAGATAGACAGGTCTGTTCTGTGTTAGAGTTTTACTCGCAACAGCAGGGGTGGCCAACCAGTCAGAGGTTAAGAGCCAAATGTTTTCTATGTTACTGCAAGGAGCCACATCAAACACACAGTCACTGATACCGCTTGTTTCAGTTTTTTGTTTTCTGGAGACAAGATTTCAACCACGTCACTGATGCATTTTTGTGGCATTGGGATATATATATTTTAAATCCTCTGGAGCAGAGAGAGGAGCTGTGGATTATTGTTATTGATTAATGCATCAGTGTTTCTTAGGGTCAAAAACAGCGTTTAGTTTATTTAATAAAAGAGCACATGTTCAATGTGAAAAGTGACAGTAGTTATAGATTATTTGCAATTTGGTGCGATATATATATATATATTTTTAAAAAATAATAATATATTTTTTAAACACCTTGAATTTCAAGGGGGGGCGCGGGGCTCCGTTGGCGGGGCGCAGCGCCCCTCCAAGACAATGGTAGGGGAAACACTGGATAGTAGGGCTGTGCAATTAATCGTATTTTAATCGCGATTACGATTATGGCTTGCGGCGATTATGAAAACAGCATAATTGACAAAATACGATTATTTTGCTGGGTGCGCTTTCGCCCCTCCCTAAAAGCCCACTCGGCCACGTGGGAGTGACATGTGTTGTGAGTGTTCAGCGCGAGCGAAGATGTCAGAACAAGAGCAGCAACTCGTTAAAAAGAAGGGTAAAACTATTTCCACTATTTGGAAGTAATTTGGCTTTCAGGAGTCCGACGTGGAGCAAAACAAAGTACAGTGCAGGATTTGTTACCAGGTTGTGTTGGCACCACACGCTAACACAACCAATCTCTTTAACCTCTTAAGCCCTGAGCCTGTTTTTCAGGTTCGAAAATGCCACTAACACAACAAAGACTATATCTTCACTTCTAAAAGGGTTAAATTAATAATATTTTCTCTCAAAGCAAGGTTACATCTGTGAGTTGGATGTAGAAGTGTCAGAATCATTATTATTTTAAAGTAAATTCAGATGGAACATAGTAAAAACATGTAAATTCTAATGTCCGCCTAAAAAAAAAACATTACTTATAGTGAAAACCACCCTTGAATGATGGGTTAGTAGACTAAAAGCTTTAGGAATCCAAACTATAACATATAATAAGTACCCTGTATCAAGATTGATGCAAAACAAGTGAAATTTGACCTTTTTAGAGAGGTTTAGAAAAATAAAGTCCAGGCGGACTCACCTCTGGGTAATTTGGGAACCATCAGTTCCATTTGAACTTTTTCACTGTAAAAATCATTTTATTACTTTGAATTATCACTATAGGATTCATTCCATCCAAATACAACTGTTGTGGAAAAAAAACAAAAAAAACATACTCTGTTATCCTCTTAGGCCCCACGGACCCGAAATCGCGTCATTTGCAGGAAACAACGTCTAAGGAACCTTAATATTTAATAAACTATGAATATTTTATATCCATATAACGGGGAAAAAACTCATTTAACTGATCTTTTTCATTTATGTTTTCAAAAAACACACACAATGCTAACAGTGAGCCTCTGAATTAGCCCGAGCGAAAAATGCTAACCTATTACTGCACCGAAAATCACTACTAGCTCCCTTATTACTTATCCTAGCTCCACATCCAACACATTGTTTATGACCGTAAAGACCCAGAATCTAACGGTGCCCACCTCAACACTGAAAGATACAAACTCGCGAGGTTATCAACAAAAACGTACATCAAAACAAGTGGCGCTAGGTACTAACATGCGCTAGGCTAACATGGCTTACCTTCCTCTTTGTCTGGTCTAAACTGGTCTTCAATGGCATTAAAATGATAAAAACGATGATGTAGTTAATCCATAGGTTAATATCCAATGGGGCTGTGTCCCCTTTGAAATGTTCTGATAATCTATAAGCAATAAAACTGCAATTCCGTTATCTGCTGTCCGCTCTGTGCTCCGTGCGCTCTGGGTCCTGCAATTCCTGCTTCCTTCCGTAGTAAACAATAAGTAAAGTCTGCTGCGTAATGTACTTACCCTGGCTGGCATTCTTTATACTTTACGCAGGACCATATCTCTGGAACCCATTGGTCGATTTGGGTGATTTACACCTTTTTCTTAACCATTACATTCAATAGAATCGATGGGCAGTTCCCAAATCCACGTAAACATTACCATTGCGGATAGAGATGTCCCGATCCGATCACGTGATCGGGGATCGGAGCCGATCACGTGATTTTTAAAAGATCGGAATCGGGAGAAAAAGATCGGGGATCCTTAAAAAAATTATTTTATTTAATGTTACAAAACAAAAATGACCATGTTCACGTCTTAAAGTCATCCTGAGGCCTTAGTTTTGGTTTAAAATGACACAACATCATGTAAGTGTTGCTTCTTGTGGGCTTGTTTTCATAGACCTGGTTGCTTATTTCTCTCAAATATGGCAACAGAGTGGGCGCAGTGTCTAATAGTAGCAGTAAGCTAACGAGAGGCTACGTTCAGCTGGTGACTCGGGAGTCGGGACAGAGTAAATGTCAGGAGTTTGGAAGTATTATAAAATTGAAACCGAAGGCAGTGTAACAGCCAGATGCAATGTTTGCAAGAAGGAGGTTCCGTGTGGTGGAAAGAACAGAGCTACGTTCAACACGACCAATCTAATACGATTGTTTGTTTTTTCCCCGTTTTTTTTCTCAAATTGAATTTATTGAAATCTCCAATATCAACGTAAGAGCTTGTGCCTCTTCGGGGGGTGCTAACACTTAACCATAAACGTTATAGTTTACTTTTCACCGTTAATCTCCGTCACGTTGTTTCCAAAGCAACAACAACTTCCTATCAACAGCGCTACCTCTCCTTCAAAATAAAAGCATGTCCACAAATAGGAAGCCAAGCCAAATTACACTTAAGACATACAACTGCAACGAAAGTAACAAACACAATGTGATATCCTTTTCAATTTCAAAGAACACAAATTGGGTTACATTAACAAATAACTATAAAACAACAATACTGTAGAATAACAAAAAGAAGTGGTTTGCTGCTGATTACTATTGAATTGTGTTACTCCAGTAAGATGGAAATATAATACTTTGTTTATTCATGTTATGTTAAGCTGCTGTTGTTCATTGCATTATTACTAGACTAGTTAGTCAAGGCTAGAATTCTGCACTATGCCACATTTTATTTTATTTTATTATTTGTGACTGAATGTGAACTTGTGAAGCTAGTCAAGCTACCTCTTACCAGTAGAGTTATTTTTGTTTTGTTACTGCACTATCTGCACTCAATTTGTTTACATGGTTATCTTGTGGTGGACCACTGATAAGCTTTATTTAGTTTTGATCCAATGCTGCACAACTGAACTGATCCAATGCTGCTGTGAAAAAAAGGAGCTATATCCATGTTGGATAGAATGGATAGTTGGGTACTGTCATTTAAATTAAAAAAATAACCTTAAGGGACAACTTGAATGCTTTTTTCCTTTTTTTTTCTCTTAATGCATTGCATAAAGATCGGATCGGGAAAAATCGGTATCGGCAGATTGTCAAAATCAAATGATCGGAATCGGATCTGGAGCAAAAAAAGGTGATCGGGACATTCCTAATATTTATAGCACCAAATTGCAACCAATCTATATTTACTGTCACTTTTCACATTGAACATGTGCTCTTTTATTAAATAAACTAAACGTTTTCATTTGAAGTTGTGAGTTTAGTGTTTTTGACCCTAAGAAACTCTGATACATTAATCAATAACAATAATCCACAGCTCCTCTCTCTGCTCCAGAGGATTTAAAAAATATATTTCCCAATGCCCCCCCCCCCCCATTCCAGAGATCGGCCCCAAAATTGGCGATCGGAGCATCCCTACTTTTTTGCTTTAGTTTTTAAAAGCAGGGCTGAAAGGTATTATTAACCTAAATGTGTGTGTATTAGTGCTTCAGTTTAATCAGTGTGACTCTTAATACACTTTATTCTATTGTAGAAGATTTGTATTTTAGCTGAGACAATAAATCAGTGGTGTTATAATTCAGTGATGTATCCTGATGTGGTAGATCATGATACATTAGTATCATGCCGACATTTTTCATATAAAAAATAGTCAGATATCAGTGGGACAATTTACCCCTAGTGCAGAAATTCACAACATCTGTTTTTTAAGTTCTTGCATAAAACTAGTCTTTTCCATTTTTATTAATTTAATGATTGTTGTAATAGTTTTAAATTCCTTTCTACTGTGTAGCAGTTAGTAGTTACTTGTGTGGGAAGGTTTTGCTCACAGGCCTCTTTGAAAAGAGAAGTAATATAGATGTATAGAATATATATTTTTGAAGATTTCACCCTGTTGGCTTTAGTCGAAAATTCACCCCGATCCAAGAAATGGCATATGTCCAGATTGAAAGATCTAGTAGTTGTTTGAATAAAACAGTTTGGATAGTTAGTCAAACAATGATTAAACCCATGACCTTGTCAGCACCAGTATAAGCCTTTATATCGACATGACTCAGATTTTTGGATGAAGGATTAATTAACAACCACAGTACATAATAAAATACAATCTGAGGATTACATGCAAACAACTTGGTAACTGTATTTATTATTGCTGACAAGGAGTGTAGCAGCTGCAGTCATGTATGTGACAAACATCTGTTTGTAGATTTACATTTGTCTTTATGTAGCTAAATGGTATAAACTGGGGATGCTTTTGTACGACGTTAGGCCATCAATGATTCTTTAACTAATGAAAACAATTGGTAAACGACATGGTAATGTTACTGAGCACCCAGACGGGCGGCGGTCGCCTCCATGCACAGCATTTATATAGCGGTATTTTTGTAGCTCTCCAAGCCGAGTCGTAGAGGGAGCTCTACGCTATAATATATATCTGTGGCTATGATGCTCTAGGTGGGCTTAGAATAAGAGACAAGCGGGCGGTGGGTGTAACAACAACTGCCAGCTCCGACCCCAGCGAGATTTACGGGGGGGAAAGAAGATAAATTAAACACTCGACGACGGGAGATGTTTGGGACAACACACATTTGGTATTGAATCGGTAGCCGCTGTTACCACAGTGCTGCTGGAAATGCTTCGTCATTCTGTTTTCCGCGCTGGCCTAAACGTAATAGTCTCCGTGTGTTTACTTCGATATCAGCATGTCAGTAACGATAGGTGTAGACGCGAAAACAACACGCTTAGTTTAACGAAATACAAAACAAAAATGTTGGCTGTAGTAACTTGCGATCATTTTAAGTTTCCTTCTAGGAGTTACTTAGGGCACAGGGTGGGGAAGGCCTAAAGCTAACTGGTGGCTAACGCTAGTTGCAACATCTTAAATAAATGTATATTTGTACCTTACGCAACACGCTTAAAAGTAACATCAAATGGGTGTATTGCGACACGGGGGTTTGTGTGTTAACTATAAAATATGTCATTGCTCATTTAATTGTGTTTGTGTTACTATCCGCGTATAATAATGCTGACATGCTCATGTTAGCTAAGGGCGATAACTTAAACCCGCCAGTTTCCATGTCGTCAAGGCTGCAAAGACTGGAAACAAAGAAGCGAGAAAATGGACGCCTCGGCCTAAACTCTTCAACCAAATCGTCGAAGTATTTTAAAGTTATCTTCGACGATGTATTCACAGATAGGCTTATAATGCAGCGGGCTGTGTATATATTTATTTCAACTTCGGTTATTTAAGCGTATTTTGACGGGGTTTTCAATAACGATAGAGGGAGACAAACACTCTCCGACGAGCTGCCCGGACCCAGAGCCCCATCGTGACACCTAGAGGCCGATTAAAGATCCTGCAAACTCCCCCCTTATCAGAAAAGTAGTGATACTTTACCTCTTTTTTGTGTGTTTCTCGACCTCTTTAACTCGACCGAAAGCAGAGAGTATGTGCTACAAAGTTTGCCCGCCTGGTAAGAAATGCAGGTTTCTTCGCAGTTGTTTTAATCCCTCTCCCGCTTTAGCAGAGTAGCCTCTGCCACAAAATGGCAGTTGTGAGCTCAGTGCGCCTGTGCGGCCGCTGGGGGGTGGTGTCGAAGCTGCTGCAGACACCGTGATTGGCCAGGAGGGGCGCCCCGTTGGAATACAATACATTGAAACCCATTTATCACACTGTTTGGAATAGAGCTTCTCTCAGGACCCTTGGAGATATGAGCTTTACTATAGGAAAAATAACCTCTAAATGTCAAAGTACCATAACAAATAAACACTTTGTAAGAGATTGTGTTTATTTAAAATATAGTAAAATAAATAATACATTGATTTGTTTAAATCAGAATACTTTATTTATCCCTGGGGAGGTTTGTGACTGTTGCACCGTTTGTGGATAAAACGAATTATTAATAAAAAAAGGATAAATATGTATATGTGCAATGAAAATATAAAATCAAATACACAATAGGATTTTTAAATTTAATATTTGTTTGAAGTAATATGATGGCAATTAGTACAATTGTAGTCAATGTACTGTCGTAAATTACCCATCTGTAGGATAATGTCCATCTATTAGTCTGTGCTCTTACTGACTGTGCAAAAATTACCAGAAAGAGAAAGTCAACAGAAATCTTTATTCACTGCCTTTTGGAAACTTCAAATTGGTTTGTAAATTGTACAGTCGCATACATCCATGGGTTTTGAATCAAAGCATGAACGACAGGGCTTCCCTCATAATTGTTCTGATATTGTGCACACCTGAGCTAAGATGTGTTCTCTGTTCTTTAATAAGGACAATACAGCTGATGTCTATCACAGCATCAGTGTTTCTGTCATAGAGTAAAATGATGAAGTTACAGTTCAAGTCATTTCTACAGTTTTGTTTATACTTTATGTAAAGCACCTTTGCGTCTTGACTGTCCTGTATAAACAAACTCCCTGCTTTTTCAAATTAGACAGAAAAAATGAAAATGCTGAATTATTGGTAAAGTCTCAAGAGATATAAAATATATATACATATACAGTGCTGGAAAATGTGTGTATATATATATATATATACATATACATAGTGCTGGAAAATTGTTAGTCTATGACCAAATTATTGTTATATGCTCACTATGATTAACACAAACAATGAGACAATCTTTGAACATATTTTAATATTTTGTATATTCAACACCAGAATGACTGGAAATATATTTTAGAAAAGAAAAAAAGAAATGTTTCCAATACTGCACAACTAATCAAGGTTGTGGGGAAAATATATTGTGCTGGAGCGGTTTCCCACTGCTTCACACAATCTCATCTATGTCTTGCATCTCTGTTACTATCAAAGCTTGAGGCACTTAAACACTGTGGGATGTATGCAGAGGTATAGCTGCAGATAGCTGCTGTCCTTCACAAAACAATAGTGGTAAAATCATTTAACACAGTGGAAGCCATCAAATATACATACATAAATAGTGAGTTTCCCACTTAAAGAAAATCCTATATTATGATTCCAGTGACACTGCAGCCTGTCGCACAATTTATGCTGAATAAGAACTAAACATCCAGATTTAAAACACTGTACAAATAGCTCTTTGTGAATATATGTCTGAATGACAGTTATTTTCAGGGACACAGCAGTACATCAGTAAGTCATTATTGCCTTCAATAAATATGAAAGGATGATGCATAAAGGGATAGGCCTTGTGAAAAATACTGAGAATACCTAAATCAGAGATTCAGATCCGAGTTCATAAATAATGAATTCATCTCAGAATTCTACTTAAACCTTTTCCCCATATTCTGATATAGTCCTATTTATAACATTGAGATAATCTTGAATTTAGTCTTAGAAGTTACATTATTTCTCATGGCTCTATATATATATATATTAAAGATATGGCCCTTAACCTCTGTGAAAATGGTAACATAATTTTAAGAACAGCTAGATAATTGTTTTTCAATCACAGTGTTGTTAGAACATGTAAGTCAGTCTAAGAGAAGTATACAGGGTTGGCACATTTCATATAGGAACCTGGACCCTCCTTCTTATAGACAAAAGCTGTGTCATGTTTTCTGTGGAATTATTACAAATGTTCACATGTTGTAAAAAAACAAATGAAGTACAGTTTAAACTTGCAGAAAGACTGAAATTACTACATGTTTACATGTCATGTTGTTAGAACAAAAAGCAGAACAAATTGTCGACAATGGTTTAAAAGCTTAGACAACAGAAAAAATTAGGCCTATAGTCCAGTCCATGCTAGCAGCTCTGAAAATTGCTTCGGCACTTTGAGCTAAATGCTAATGTGAGCATGCTAACGTGTCCTAAGTGACAAATGTAATGCTGATGTTAACATTTGCCAAAAAGCACTTAACACAATGTAGAGCAGAGGCTTAAGGAATTGCAGTAGTCCTCCAGGTATTTTGTCACAATTATTGGTTTTACAAATGATCCTGGGTTAATGAGGGGCCTGAACCCAATTTCTATGAATTATTTGTTGAGATATTTCTATCTGGCTAACTGAGCAACATTGCCATCTCCACAGTGCTACTGCTGGCATGGCTAAGAATTACACATAATTTCCTGTCAGTCGAAATGTCTTTTTTTTACTGCTAGAACTGCACAATGTCAATTTCAATTCAACATGTTTACATCATAGTGTTAGCATAGCATACAGTATGAGACTTGAACACATCCATATGATATCAATAAAAGACCATCAGTCATTAGTGCTCAGGAAATGAAAAGGCAGACTGGCATCATCAGCAGTGTCGCTATGAAAAGGATCAACACGATTACAATTAACGGGTCACTGGCCTGGAAACTTTGGCATTTTTACTGACATCTGTTAAACTCAGTGTGGATAAATAAAACCAGTGAACTTGCATATTTGTAACCCCATCTACCAAAAATACATTCTTGACTTCACACGCTGGCACTTTTCCAAAGTTAGTCGTTTTGTAAAATGTTTTATGTTTACAGTATCATAATGTAATGTATTGTAATGTATCAATATTGAGTATAGCTGACATTTGCTTGAGTTTGGTAATCCATCACAGGGAGCATCAGCTTTGTGTTTACATGTTGTTACTTTATTAATTTAGCCATTATATTTGCCATTATGATACTAACTGCATTCACCAAAGTAAAATGACTACATTGTCCCCCAACTATGACTTAGTATCTCATTATTTTCAGAAAATATTTAAGATGATAAGATCCCTTCAAACATTTTAGGAATCGTTTCATAATTGCAGCTCTTATTTAAGAGTTACTAATTCATAATGCTACGATGATGTGTTATAATGGAATCCTGAGTCCAAACTAAAATCACAGATAGTTTTATTATGAAGCCAATGATAACAAAGTACAGTAGGTCTACAATGTTTTTCTTTGGTGAGTGTAATGGGCTCACTTTGGAGAATTGTCAGCAGCAGAAGTGGAAATATTTTAGTATGTCATTGGTAGTAAATGGCATACACATGCAAAACACTGGTATCACCCTTCAATCATTTATAATTCCATAACCACATTTTTGAGGATGCCAAATCAACTCAACACAGACAAATGCAATATTCATTCTTTGTAAAGAAAATCTTTAGTTTAAGTGTGAAGTTCAACTGTTACAAATGTCGATATACCTAACCAAGAAAGGTGTATGGTGTCTTTGCCTTCTCAAAAGACAAAGCCCTCCGCAGCAGTCTGACAGTAATGTAAATATTCAGTGACTTCATTTACAGCAGATATGTCAGTGGTAAGTCATTCAATGAATCAATTTATCAAACTGATAATAATATATGTCATTTTAACAGTAAAACACATCTTATAAAACAAAGTATACATTTACAAATAAAGACTGTCAAGAAAAAAAACTATTTACAATCACAGAATATTGAACTCCAGTGGCAAATAATCATATAGTATGTAATTCCATAAAGAATAAGATATGTCATTATTGTAAAGAGTGATGGCACTGAATTGTTTTAACCTATCACTGTGCAGAAGCAGCTTAGCAACAGTTTCAACTCTTTATTTAAAACTACAGTGTGAGCTTCTCTTTCTTTTCAACCTGGTGCTAATATAATGACAGCATTAAACATAAACCTCTGCGAGACAGAGAGTAAAAAGCTTTCCTTTGTATCTTTTGAACTGGAAGACGTTTCACAGTGAGTCCAGCAGTAGCAGATCTCCAGTATCTGTCCATGCATCAGAGACATGTCCTGCTGAGCACCACAGTGAGGCCCCAACCTACATTTAGCTCTACTATACATGAGCAAAAAAAAAAACAGAGACAGTTCCATTAAGACTGAAGAACATGCGTCAACAAATGGATACAATACAAATCCCATTCATTCTTTTGCTGCCCAGTTGGTGGATCTCCATCACCCCCGACCTTTGACACCCAAGTCAACTTCAGAATGATGCCCACTGTGATGTGACATGTATGAAGTTTGGATATTGATGTTATAAGTTCATCACAGTGTCTTTGCTAGGGCTGCACAATTTAGAAAATATAACAAATTGTGTTTATTTTTGACTGATATTGCAATAGCGATATGATTTGTGATATTGAAGTAAACGACCATTTTGAAACCTTATTCACATATGAATGGAAAACATATAAAAATGATAATATAGTGATTGTTTTTGCAAATCTGTACAAAACAAGGATTTTTTATTAAAGGGGCCCTATTCTGCATATTTTCAGGTTCATATTTCTATGTAGTGTCTCTACTGTGACATGCCTCCATGCTTTCATGTTCAAAAAGCTCTTTATTTGTATCATACTGCCTGTGCTGCAGCACCTCTTTTCACCCTCTGTCTGAAACCAGAGCCCAGTCTGCTCTGATTGGTTATCTGGCCGGGTCTCTGTTGTGATTTGAAATTTGAATAATTGTGCAGCCCAGATCTATGCAGTAGTGTGGGAAGTTTGAGCTCATCCATTCTCAGGTGCATTGCAGTGTTGCAGTACAGCTGCATTACTTAGGTCTCAGTCTTGAAATCAACAAGCTAGTAGAGCCATGGCTATAGGAAAGGCAGAGTTATATGAAAATATGTTGCAACTGGGGTAACATTTTCCAAAAACACCATAAATAAGAATCTTCAGGAAAACAATAGGTTTCCTCGCACTTCGTGCTAGGGACACCGTTGGGGTCCCAGCACTCTCGTGCTCAGGCCCTAACAAGAGACAGCAGTATCCACTAAGAAAAGTTAATGGTAGGAGAAGCACTGTACTGCAGATTTACTCTATGTATGCCTACTGGTACAAGTCAAAACCACAGAGAGTCGGAGTACAAGACACTCAACATTTTGGGCACTTAGTAGGCTGTGAAAATGTGAATGATCTGAATTGACTTAAAATAGATCTTTACACTTTTCCTAATCCACTTACAAAATAATGATTTTGTGTCTGTGCCATGATGGATCAATATCCAGTTATTTGATTTGGATATGAATCTGCTTTACATTTCCTTCCTTCAGTATCCATTTCATCCTTCTCCTCCCTTCATCTGTCTTTCCATTCAAGCCTGCTCACATTTTACATCCTTCCTCACACTCTAACTTGGTAGTTAGCACAGGTCAATGAACATAAACTGGTGTGTTTGTAGCTTAATAACTTTACATGTTTGCCAGTGTTAAATAGAGTGGCTATCCTTGATACCTCTCTGATTTTTAGTGGTAGTATTGGAAAATAAAAAAACTTACTTTATATTCTCATTGAGGCTTTTTGTGTTAATTCAGTTTTCTCCCCCACCCAGTGTGTGCGTGTGTGTGTGTGTGTGTGTGTGTGTGTGTGTGTGTGTGTGTGTGTGTGTGTGTGTGTGTGTGTGTGTGTGTGTGTGTGTGTGTGTGTGTGTGTGAAGTGTTAGAAAGCAGTGCTGGCCATGCTTCCTGGAGCGAAGAGTCTGGGGATGCTGTCCTGAGACGTCTCCACGTGTCTGTGGGCCATCTTCCCCTCCTCGCCTGCTCCACACAATGGATTGAAGAACAAAAAAAATGGAATGCAACAATGGACCAATGAGTGAATGCACTGGACAAAGTGAAATGACAGAAAACAAGCAAGATGTATATTTGTAATTTCTGCTTTAACTATAGAGTGGTGCAGGAATGAGTCATAAACCTGGAAATTAGTTAGCACTTTCGGGCTCCCTCGTCTCTAAGTCAACTGTTTTCTGAAAAGAGACTGTGGTGGACACAAGTTTAGGAGATTTTTCACCTTTTGTTTTACTGCAAAAAATAAGTCATCAAATATCCCACTCCTGTCTTAAAAAGCGGCGGTTGCTAACAAGTGGCTAAATTAGACGGCAAAATGTCTAATCAGAACTAACATTAGCCACCCTTTAGCTTAGCGGTGGTGACGTGACTGAAATGTGCTTTATGGCATTAAGTTAGCTATTTACTGTACTTATGACAATTAAATTTACCCTTCAAAAATAAAAAGGTGGCATTAATATGTAGAGAGTATCCTGCCGAACAGAATGTGTAGCTGTCATAAACGTGTGTTAGCCACATATTTGATTATTTTCTGTAATATCCCAACTCCAATGTTAAAATCACATTGCTTTAGTCGAGGGAGCGCTAGCTAGCAATGCTAACTTCCAGGGCCGCCAAAGAAAATACATCATCACTGCACCATTCTATTGTCTTATATCACAAATATATGAATGAATGGAATAACCAAACAATAATGGATACAAAAATACAAAATATATGAATACAGGCACATTATTTATATTTTATACATGGATATGAGTTTATCCAGGAAGTGCATTGTTTAGCTGTCATTCTATCTAAGTAATATGGTGATGTTTATTACCGAGCACCAGCAGCGCTTGTTTGGCAGCGTCTCGGACATCGTCCTTGTCCATCCGACAGAGATACACTAACTGGTCGATACTCTCTTTGGCCTGGAATAACAATCGATAAAATACGTTATTTAGCATGGTTAGGAGGGCACACTCTAGTACAGATAAGACTTTATGATGTTACATCACTGTGGTGCCATACAAGTAGAGAAGTGTGTGTACCTTGAGACATGCTAGAGCCTTGCATCCACACACTCTGGTGTCCGACTGCTCGTCTTCCAGCAGCTCCAAACAGCTGACCAGCGCCTGAGGAGGAGAGTGTGTAGTGTTTATATCCGTGTCTTACTGTGTACTAACTGATCTCAGGACGAAGCCATGCTCTACTTTTACACTGCTGTCCATGTTAAGTCTTTTCCTTATTGAAGATTTATGATTCAATATTTGTATTCTGCTTCATAATTACCTAACATGTTATTTAGCTGACTGTTTTATCTATTGTGATTGAAGTGACTTACGTACACTTCAATCACTTCAAATCAGGTACTTTTAAATGTAAAAATACCTAGTAACTATGAGTGTTGTATAAAGGTAGCGGAGTAAAAAGTAGAATATTGGCCTCAAGGCTGTGCACACACACACACACACACACACACACACACACACACACACACACACACACACACACACACACACACAACACACACACACACACACACACACACACACACACACACACACACACACACACACACACACACACACACACACACACACACACACACACACACACACACACACACACACACACACACACACACACCTGCTCCCTCTGCCTGGGCTGAGCAGCCAGGCTCCTCAGCACAGAGCTGGCAGAGGCTGACACTTTTCCTCGCGGGTCTCTCAGTAATTTGGCCACAGCATGAAGTCCCTCTCTCCTCAGGCTGCACTCTGGAGGGCGCCGCAGAGCCTGCACGATCACTTCCTGGTCACATGACGCCAGGCTCTGCACCAACCACACTGTGGGAGGCAGGATATCACTGAGAACTGCCACTGTAACTATAATATCAAGCGTTTTTTGTGTGTGTGCAGGGGCGGACTGGGACTAAAAATCAGCCCGGGCATCTCGACTGGCCCACTTCGGTACCGGCCCATCGGGATTCGTCTCGATGGCCAGTCCACCACTGTGTGTGTGAGTGTGTGTGTGTGGTAATTGAATAGAAATTAGATAAGAATAGATTTTTTGTTTGTTATTGTGGTTGTTTAAATGTCATGGTGTTTCTGGAGCTAGACTGCCCCATTTTTACAGGCGTGTGCCTCCCGTTGTCGCTGAATTTGGGAGCGCAAACTATTTTGACCTCTAAATGCCAACAAACATTGAGACTGAGACAGATTGAGAATATTTTGTTAAATAAAAACCCATTGTGAATTTTGGATATGATTACATCTGTCCTTGTTGTTTAAATCACACCAGTCTTTGTGTGTGTGTGTGTGTGTGTGTGTGTGTGTGTGTGTGATACCTTCTTCTGCCACTTCAGTGATGTGTGTGTCCATGTCAGTGATGCAGTTGGCCTCCATGTAACTCCACAGCTGGAACAGCGTCACCATCACTCCGTCTCTGTTGCCTCGCCGTGGTAACCTCTGATCCAGCACTCGCTCAACTAGGCACAAGAACACTGGACGGATACACCACCACACCCACACCACAAACACACACACACACACACACACACACACACACACACACACACACACACACACACACACACACCACACACAACACCAACACACACAGGTGTTATATCAGGACGAACCCTGGACAGTGGCAGTACCCTGCAGGTGTAGCTGTACCTGTGTCGGCCATGCTAATGGCCCTCTCCGGCAGGGTTCTGGAGTAGACTGCAGACAGAGTGAGGAGGAAGCTCTCAGCAGAGACGCTGTACACACTGCCCTGTCCCACACACTGTTGCCATAGTAATTCAGCACCCAGGCACAGGCCCAGTTGCGGTATCACTGTGACGGAAGAAGATGGGACTGAGTTAGTCTTTTGTATTTGGAGTGGTTCCTATCGCTTTGAGCATGGACCCTTGACCTTGTGTGAAGAAACCCCCTCAACTGAAAAGGTTCCCTTACTCACCTTTTGTACTAGCACACTTTAGATTTGTCTGAACCCATCAAAACTTTTTTCCAGATAGTTCCTTGCACAAATAAGCATCATTTCAAAAAGAAACCTTGACATCAGGGGGAGGAGGATTCAGGCAGAGAAGCTTTGTTTGTGTCAGATTTCTAACACAGACTGAGTCCATCAACATGGGATAAACTCATGTTTGCCATTTTAATGACATAAATGTATTGCGATCTAAGTCAGATCTTGTTTTTCTTTTATCCCACATTGTTATATCTCTCACAGGCTCCGCCCTCTACTGGACTCTATGGGTACTACCCCTTGATCATATCATGCAAGCGTTCATCCACTGAGACCTCCATAAACGTAGCCGACCCCGGGGCGGGCCTACCTGAATGCGCCCGCATCTCACTGTATAAAAGGAGGCCACGCCTCCTGACTGTCATCCTTTTCTCTTCAGCGAGCAGGATTAAACAACCTGAGCAGTAAACGAGAAAGGAAAAGAAGAAAAGCATGGACTCACCACTCCTCGAACACCGGGCCTGTCCGACATGCCCTGGCCTGATCGCGGGGGCTGATCCGCACCGGCCTGGGGTCCACGCCGAAGACAGCCTAAGCCAGTCGCCGGCCTGCAACGCCTGCCGGATGATCCCTCGGCTAAGCTGCCGACATCGTGGGGATCATTTCCGGGTGAAGTTTGGCCCGCCGGGGGAGGCGGAGGATCAAGACCTCAAGGTGGTGGAGATGGGTGAACAGGATGACGAGGTGCCATTCGTGTTCGCCATCCCGAGGGGCCGGGTGGCCACGGTCACGGAGGAGGAAGACGACGAGGACGCCTCGTTGTCTGGTACTTTCGGGTCCGGCGGCCAGGAGGGTCCAGCACACAGGTCTGCGCGTCTGGACTTCCCGGCGGTGATGACCCTGGCGGCGGAGCGTGTGGGTCTACCGCTCCCCCCACCGCTGCCACCGAGGTCAGTAAGCCACCTTCGACAGGGGTTTTACGGCCCAGTGCATCCGGCCTTTGTCTCGCCCCCGGTGCCAGATAGCTGGCAGTGTGTGGAGACGTAGTGCGCGCTGGGCCCATACGGGGCTGGAGGGCTCTCATCGTCTGCCTAAGAGTCCTCCACACACATTCTGCACGGGGTCAGTATCTGAGTGTGGGACATGGGACACTTGCGCTCTCCCCGTGCCCCTTAGGGACTCGGGAGAGGTGGTGCATAGTGAGCCCATACAGGGCTGGGGACTCTCTCCGTCTGCCTATGGGCGGAGGGGGGGAGCCCTCAGCACTGTATTCCGAGCACACTTTTCGCGAGGTAAGCGCGTCGGAGTGTGCTCTGTCAGCCGCGGCCCAGACTTCTCCACAGTCACAACCGAGGTAAAGGAGGGTGCGGTGCAGCGGCTGCTAACCAGAAAGCCGGTCAGGGGCAGTGGGATGGAACGGTGTTGTTGACGACAGCGCGTGTATACATCGGGCCTGTGAGAGATATAACGAGGGGTTTACGTATGGTAACCCTTGTTATATAAGCACAGGCGGAGGCCTATAATCAGGGCACTGTCTGTCCTATGCCGCTCGCTGAAGAGAGGTGTAGGATGACAGTCAGGAGGTGAGGCCTCCTTTTATACGGTGTGATGCGCGCGCATTCAGGTAGGCCCGCCCCGAGGCCGGCTACGTTTATGGAAGTCTCAGTGGATGAATGCTTGCATGATATGATCAAGGGGTAGTACCCATAGAGTCCAGTAGAGGGATCCGCCTGTGCTTATATAACAAGGGTTACCATACGTAACCCCTCGTTATACTTACTGCTTATTCCTAACTCTTTCCTCCAATTATTGTATATAATGTATTTACATTAACATTGTTGCCATGATTCTTCAGCACACGGCACTGTTGTACAATACTCAGATTGGCCCTGTGAAATAGTTGCATTTTGATTATAAAATAAAAATAAAATCCAGATGAAATTGCAAAGTATTATAGGAGTTTATTTTAATATATGATATATTTAGACTATTATGCAGGCCTGGTGGACAAATAATAAATAATAATAATAATACATTTTATTTGGGGGCTTCTTTCATAGCACCCAAGGACACCTTACAGGGCATAGGGTAATATAGGGAAAATTAAAACAGTGGATTTAATCAAATGTCAGCCGGGGTAAAACAAGACAAACAACAGAAAATGGACTACAGAAGGACACAAAAGGACACAGGGTACAGTTTATAAAGAAAATGCCAGTTTGAACAGGTGGGCTTTGAATGTTGTTATGGAATCAGACTGTCGGATATGTAGTGGCAGGGAGTTCCAGAGTCTGGGAGCCGAGCAGCTGAAAGCTCAAGCACCCATGGTTTTGAGGCGAGAGCTTGGGACAGTGAGAAGTCCTACGGACGAAGAGCGGAGGGTGCGGGAGGGGGTGTACTGCTGAAGGAGGTCGGTGATGTAGATGGGGGCAACTAAGGTTATGGAGAGCTTTATATGTAAGTAGAAGGTTTTTGTATTCAGTACGGTAGCGTACAGGAAGCGAATGTAGTTGAGTGAGAATAGGGGTGATGTGGTTGGATGAGTTGGTGCGGGTGAATCTGTAATGCAGATAAGCATTATAGTTGCTCTCAAAGGTTTGGCGTTAACTGTAAGACTTTATAAATATATATAATCTTCGGAATGCGTTGCAGGCATCACATTGTGTGATTGAGTGAATATTTGCAAAAAAAACATAACGTTTATCAGTTTGAACATTACATAACTTGACTTTGTTGTGCATTCAATTGAATATAGGTTGAAAAGGATTTGCAAGTCATTGTATTCAGTTTTTAGTTATGTTTTACACAACGTCACAACTTCTTTGGAATTGGGGTTTGTATACAATATATATTATTAAACGTTATTCTTTTCAAGATTTCACATGCCACATAAAATGTGGTGCCAGGCCGCATTCGTCTCACAGGCCTTGAGTTCCACACATCTGCTCTGAGCAGATGAGAGGGATGTCTGCAGGTCATGCTGACACACAGAGAGAACAGGGCCACACAGATAAAAAGACTGCAGCTGACCTTCAGCAGGCTGTCTGAAGTGCCTCGGGTTGTCCTTGGCGATGCGTCGGATGGTTTCGAGGACTTGAGCCTCCCTCAGCAGTCTGTCCAAGGCGTACATCTCTCCACAGCACAGGGGACCAAACATACCCAGACACTGCAGACATAACGTCACATATAACATGAGAAGATGAATATCATATAGTTTTAATGTAGGTGTTATAGAGCAGGTTTCCCGGGGAATGGAAAAAACTAATAGTGTAATAGGTTACAAAGACACTTTACTTCCTTTTGAAAAAGTTATGCCATACACTATTAATTCTTCAAATGATCATGCTACATAACCAGAGGTGCTATGTATCTATAATTTGTATTCTTATAAACCTTGTGTGAACTTTTATCTGAACTGTCCTGTATTACAATTTCTTTCCATAGCAGGTATCTCTGCTAAGCTGGAACCTTGACGGACTAAATTAAAGGAACATATGTCACACCAGCATGTGAGGCAGCCAGAGACCTCCCTCTGGTTGAGACATGACAAACGGCAGTGTAGCAGCTCTCTTACCAGCAGCTGGGTGCTGCACTTGTTGAGGTGGACCACCAGGGCGCAGTCTAACGTGGTGCAGCCTGTGGTGAGAGGGGAAGGGGGGCTGTCCCAGCCTCTGTCCTGCAGAGACCTGAACACACAGGAGGAATTTTTAATAAGATCCACGGTGTTGAGGGAGGCTTCCATCAACTCTGCTGGGGTCAGGGTTCAACTGGATGGAGCCTCTGAAGGCTCAATGAGATGGCAAGCAGTGTGTGACTGCTTGTCATCAAGCCAAGAAAATACATCATCATAGAGTCATATATTTAGTTGGTTTTGTTCTTTTGAGGAAGGCTTTTCCAGCTCTGCGCTATAGTGATGGAACCACACAGCTCCACTAGATGGCAGCAAGATACTTTATGTACAATGAGATTATTCTGTACCAAGAGAGATATATTTACTGTCCCCTACCCACATCCACTCCATTACAGTGAACTTCGTCTGTAGTCACACTCACAGCTGAACGAGGCTCCCTTCTTTCAGATGGAGGGAGTAAATAAAGCAGCAAGCTTTGGGACGAACTCCCCTCTCTCCAGCCGAAACAGGAAATGCCGTAATTTTTCGTTACAACGGTTCCAAATCAGCATGTCTTGTATCAATAAATGATAACTACAATACAATTCTCAAAATCTTTAATGCTGTCTCTTGTTTTGTTTTAAAGTCTGATGTTTACAGCGTTGGTCAGCTTTAGTAGCAGGTGAAGGACCGATGCAGGCTCTCTGTTGGAGGGCTTGATAACCCACTCTCCCTCCATACTTGTTGGTCTGGAACGGCACTCAATGGAGTGGAAGTATGTAGGGGTGGGGTGTAGGCGGCGATTTGGAACTGGGCCTGGATGTGGATTTACTACACTGAACAAAAATATAAATGCAACACTTTTGTTTTTGCTCCCATTTTTCATGAGATGAACTCAAAGATCTAAAACATTTTCTATATACACAAAATAACCATTTCTCTCAAATATTGTTCACAAATCTGAAAAAATCTGTGATAGTGAGCACTTCTCCTTTGCCGAGATAATCCATCCCACCTCACAGGTGTGGCATATCAAGATGCTGATTAGACAGCATGATTATTGCACAGGTGTGCCTTAGGCTGGCCACAATAAAAGGCCACTCTGAAACGTGCAGTTTTATCACACAGCACAATGCCACAGATGTCGCAAGTTTTGAGGGAGCGTGCAATTGGCATGCTGACAGCAGGAATGTCCACCAGAGCTGTTTCCCGTGAATTGAATGTTCATTTCTCTACCATAAGCCGTCTCCAAAGGCGTTTCAGAGAATTTGGCAGTACATCCAACCGGCCTCACAACCGCAGACCACGTGTAACTACACCAGCCCAGGACCTCCACATCCAGCATGTTCACCTCCAAGATCGTCTGAGACCAGCCACTCGGACAGCTGCTGCAACAATCGGTTTGCATAACCAAAGAATTTCTGCACAAACTGTCAGAAACCGTCTCAGGGAAGTTCATCTGCATGCTCGTCGTCCTCATCGGGGTCTCGACCTGACTCCGGTTCGTCATCGTAACCGACTTGAGTGGGCAAATGCTCACATTCGATGGCGTCTGGCACGTTGGAGAAGTGTTCTCTTCACGGGTGAATCCCGGTTTTCACTGTTCAGGGCAGATGGCAGACAGCGTGTGTGGCGTCGTGTGGGTGAGCGGTTTTCTGATGTCAATGTTGTGAATCGAGTGGTGGTGAGGTTATGGTATGGGCAGGCGTATGTTATGGACGACGAACACAGGTGCATTTTATTGATGGCATTGTGAATGCACAGAGATACCGTGACGAGATCCTGAGGCCCATTGTTGTGCCATTCATCCACGACCATCACCTCATGTTGCAGCATGATAATGCACGGCCCCATGTTGCAAGGATCTGTACACAATTCCTGGAGGCTGAAAACATCTCAGTTCTTGCATGGCCAGCATACTCACCGGACATGTCACCCATTGAGCATGTTTGGGATGCTCTGGATCGGCGTATACGACAGCGTGTTCCAGTTCCTGCCAATATCCAGCAACTTGGCACAGCCATTGAAGAGGAGTGGACCAACATTCCACAGGCCACAATCAACAACCTGATCAACTCTATGCGAAGGAGATGTGTTGCACTGCGTGAGGCAAATGGTGGTCACACCAGATACTGACTGGTTTTCGGACCCCCCCCAATAAAGCAAAACTGCACGTTTCAGAGTGGCCTTTTATTGTGGCCAGCCTAAGGCACACCTGTGCAATAATCATGCTGTCTAATCAGCATCTTGATATGCCACACCTGTGAGGTGGGATGGATTATCTCGGCAAAGGAGAAGTGCTCACTATCACAGATTTTTTCAGATTTGTGAACAATATTTGAGAGAAATGGTTATTTTGTGTATATAGAAAATGTTTTAGATCTTTGAGTTCATCTCATGAAAAACGGGAGCAAAAACAAAAGTGTTGCATTTATATTTTTGTTCAGTGTATTAACAAACACACAAAAACAGTTTGTGAGCTCTGACCTGCCACTTCTGCTCCTCTTCTCTCCTCTCTCCTCCACCCCCTCATCCTCCTCCTCACAGTCAGACGTGTTGAGGAAGTCAAAGCTGCACAGAGCTGTTTCCACGGTGAGGCTGACCATGCTGGGGGAGCGGCTGTGCCTCCCGCCCTACACACACACACACACACACACACACACACACACACACACACACACACACACACACACACACACACACACACACACACACACACACACACACACACACACACACACACACACACACACACACACACACACACACACACACACACACACACACACACACACACACACACACACACACACACACACACACACACACACACACACACACACACACACACACAATTTCATTTAGCTCAACCATGAAACTCAGAACAGTGAGAAACCTGAAATGACTTTTGCTTCAATTAAGCCAAACCATTTTATGTCTGAGTTTTAATGCACACACTCACACCCTAGGAAAATGTGGATCCAGCTTAAATTGCATTAACAACATTTGCCAAGTTAATTAGTGAGCCACATCTTACAGTGAAAATATAAAACTGTCATATCTCTTGTCTGACTTGGTTGGATACTCTGTGTTAAGGCAGGCCAGTGGCTCAGTTCCTTGCCCAGCAGTCGACATGTGTCCATGGGCAAGAGACTTTACCGTAAATTGATAAAAGCATCAGTGAAAGTCACTTTACACGTAGGTGGTGAATTATTCTAGGAGACTTTAACATCAACTGGAATAACAAACAAAATAGAAAGAGCTTACAACGGATCATCACGGATAATCACAAGTTAATACAACTAATGGATCAACCGACTAGAATAACCAAAACCTCCAAGACTATGATAGATGTATTATTTACAAACAAAGCTGACAGAATAGTTCAAACCTACAACTTCCTGACTGGTCTTTCTGACCATAATCTTATTATTTTTACCAGGAAACTCACCAAAAAAAAGGTTCATTGCCTCAGCTAAAACCCCTGCCTTCGGTTCACGCTTCATCCCCAAAAACCTGCAACAACGTTTTATGGAGGCAGTGAAAATGATTAATTGGGGGGACACTCTCTCCTCTGAAGATATTGGTGGAAACAGTAATCTGTTTATATCTCAAATTAATGATACAATGTCTTCCTTCTCAAGAAGAGGGTCAGTTAGGGACAGGAAGGAACATCATCTTCCCTGGCTGAATCAACAATGCAGGGTCTAATGAAATCTAGATACCAACTATTGAAGCAGAGCTTGAAATCCGGACTATCCACTGATAAACAGAAATGCACTCATGCTCGTAACAAGGTAACACAAACAATAAGACAGGCCAAAGCGAACTTCTTCATCAATATAATTGAAGGTGCGAAAGGTAACGGTAAAAAAGTTTGGCAAATCTCAAATAAACTATTAGGTAAACAAACCAAACAGGAAAAATAATGCTCTAGAATTAAAAATCAATGATGCCCTGATAAAAGACCCTGCAGTGTTGGCCAGTTCTCTCAATGAGTATTTCTTAAATAGTGCTTGGGACATTACAAAGCTCTTCTCACCATCTGGGGTTTCACCCAGCCCGACTGTGGATATACACCCCGTTTTTAACCTGGAGGAAATCACAGAGGTGGAGGTAAAAAATATAATCTTAGGGTTAAGAGGTTCTAAGGCTAGGGATGCATATGATTTCGACACAAACTTTATAAAGACACATATTGACGGTCTAATAAAACCAATTACTATGCTGGTGAATCAATCTATCAGCACAAGGGAAGTTCCATAGTCCTGGATTTTAAATCTGGGGATAAGGCTATGATGTCCAATTATAGACCTATCAGCATCCTCCCCTGTGTCTCTAATGGCGCATTTCCACTATAGCGCGGAACACGGCTTAAGCGTGCCGTGCCTGGCCCGTTTTTGGTTGCGTTACCGGCTAGCGGGTACTATTTCACAGTTTTTCTGGCCCCATAAAATCGAGGTTCTTAGCGGGCCAACAACCAGGCTGAGTCGGGCTGAGTATGCTAAACTAGAGAGAGAGAATCGCTGGCAAGGGGGCTACAACAAGATGAACATATTTGACCGTGATTTAATTGTAATACACGTTTAAAAATGATGCCGAAGTAACAACATACTGATACCGGTTAGTAAAAACCATGAATTAATGCTTTGACAAGTCTGCAGACAGACGGCAGGCGAAAACCCTTTTAAAATGCGTGTTTTCTAAATGGAGATCGGCTATGCTCCGACCGTCCACACTCACAACAACGGCCTATACAGACATAAATAAACCAGCGACTGTATTCGCCATGACACAGACAGTCTGTGGTTTGTACTTGTTTAACTTTTGTCTAGTTTCTGAACAGATATGAGGAGCTGTGAGCTTGAGTGCTCACAGCTAACTGCTGATGTTGTTTTTCTGTGGCTCGCATTGATGATGACGTCACGGCTCCGCCTACACTGCGTTACTATAGTTACTGCCCCAGCTACTAAACTGTAATGGAAACACAGCATAAAGTGAGCCTGGCCTAACAAGACCTAACTAAGCCGAGCGAGGCCCTGCAATGGAAATGTGCCATATGATAGCTGAGAAATGGGTGTCAAAACTAATCACCAAACATTTCGATAAAGGTTTCGCTCCACTCCACCCAATGCAGTTTGGTTTTCGTGCTCACCACTCCACTCCAAAACAAAAAAATATATATATACTTTTATTTTTTGCATGGGCCCCTGGATGTCTGTGGGCCCCGGTGCAATGCACCGGCTGCACCGTCAATAGTTACGCCACTGGCCCCATCACTGTATGGGTTAGCCCTACCATAGACTACCCAACAAAAATACTCTGGCGCCGCCACTGATTATATTAATCAGGCTATAGTTAAAACTTTCTAACCAACCTACTCATTTTGAATGTTATTTTAAACAAAGATGGTGATATTATACCCAATAATATATACACTTTTTTTTTTCTTTGAGCCTTCATTGATCTTACTTTTATGATAACTATTATAATGGTCTCTTCAGAGTCCGGAGCATTTGTTTTTGCAATTAAAGTGAAGTTTTTAGCTACCCTCCCCCTGTGGAAGCATCTCTAAGCTCCGCCCCACCTTGAGTGTGACCTGCAGCAGCTTCAGCTCCTGCTCCAGCAGCTGCAGCTCGGGAAACTGTCCTCTGTAATCATCCAGGGAGGAGACCACGGCTGTCAGGGCGTCCTCCAGCCCGCTGTCCACCGGACCCCCGCTCCCCCTTGATGGAGACTCTGCCTCCGGGGTCTCCTCCTCCACCGACACCCACCGCGCCACGTACGTCACGTCCCCGCTCTCTGGGCGTATGTCTGGCTGTGTGTGTGTTTCTGAGTCCACTGGTTCAGAGGAGTGTGTGTCCTGTTGGTCTGTGGCATTGTCAGCCGTTGTGTTCTCGTCTGTGGGGGGGGTTCTGCTCTGCACCTCCATCTCTATGTCAGTGATGGAGATCCCGGAGGTGGGAGACACCCCCCCTCCGGACTGGACCGCCCTGTCCGTCAGCACGATGCCGTCGGCGCTGCTCTCACTGATGTGGCTCAGGGAGCGGGAGTAGCTGCTGGGGGGGTGGCTGTTGGTCAACCCCCCCGCAGCTATCGGAGACCGCTTCCCTGAATCCTCTTCCTCACTGTCAGCTTTTGTCGTCACAGTGACTGACTCCTCTTCCCTGTAAATCAGATCATATCTCAGTTTGTTTTAGTTCAGATAAAACACATATAATTCTTAATTCTGTATTCTATTAGGTTCTCCATTAGCACTAGCAATAGGTATCTTCCTGGGGTACTGGGGTACACACACACACACACACACACACACACACACACACACACACACACACACACACACACACACACACACACACACACACACACACACACACACACACACACACACACACACACACACACACACACACACACACACACACACACACACACACACACACACACACACACACACACACACACACACACACACACACACAAATGTAAAACAAACTCATCTCATATAACTAAGTAAGAAAGTACAGAAGACAAACGAAAGTATCATCCTTTCATCATCAAGCCGTACCATTAACCTACATTAACAAACAGAAACATACAATTCTTGGAAAAATGTTCACAAAAAATAAATCATTGGGATTCATGGTCCTTCGTCTCAAGTCCTTGTCTGAAAAAAATCCTTAAATTGTGTAAATATCTATGCCCCTTTTTTAGACATATTCACTTCCAAGAAAATGTTTTTCAAAAATAATAAAAAGTAAAAAAGAATAATACATCAAATAATAACAACAAAATAAGTAAACCTATTCGACTGAAAATCTTAATTGTACAGAACCAGAGTGCCGCTGTACCTGCTGCTCGGTGCTGGTCGTGCAGACGTGTGGGGGTCCTCACTGACGGGGCTGATTTTGTGGGTGGAGTTTGGAGTTGAAGAGGAGTCTCTTGGGCAGAATGAGATGTCTGGTTGAGGGGAGGAAGTCCCGCCTACAGCTGGCTGGATGTCTGGTGTCACCACCACCGTCTGGAGAGGGACAGGGACACCATGAGTCACTGACAGTCAATCTAACACAGGGATGGGCAACTTTGATGGTGGTGGGCCACATCATTCATGTACTGGCCACCAGGGGGCCGCATATTCACTTGGAACACACACACACAACAATTCCATGTGTTGTATGTAATTATTAACAAATATACTAAGTCTGACATCTTCATTGACATTTTACAATCAAAGGGAACATCCCCAAAAAATGGGAACATCCTCTAATAAGCGCACTAAACAAATATCAGTTCACAGAAATGTTATTTCATTTTTACAAGTGGCATGTTTGTATTGAACAGGTTATTAAACAGTGGAATAAAACTATTTAAAACTATTGGAAAGCTCGGAAAATATGTGTGTATTGAGATTAACCATTAAGATGACATACACATGAAGTCATGAACACTAACCCAGACATTAGTTGTCTAACTTGAACCTAAAACACTTGTAGCTGTCAAGGGGTGAACTCAAATGCACGACTCAACTCAGACTCAGGTAGTGTTCAAAATAAAGACTTTACTGGTATTGTTGTCACAGTAACAAAACAGGGAAAAACAATAACACTCTTTTTAGGAAAAACAAGGACTATGATCATGAGCTTAGAGGAACGTAATATGTCCGTGGAGTAGGCTTGTGCGTGTATCCTAAATGAGGAAACAAACTGGCAATGGACAGGAGGGGACTAGCACAATATATACACAGGGTAAGGGGAAACAGGTGGAAACAATCAGGGCGGGGAAAACAATCACGGACACAGGAGACAGATAGGGTCGGGGAGCGTGGAGGCCTGAAATGAGAGGGAGAATTACTTATTGGAATAAACATAAAGCACAGGACAAAGGGACATGACAAAACTAACATAAAGAATAAACTTTTACAATAAGTTTCTTAGACATGACAGTAGCCAGTCTCTGCATTCCCCTTATTCCACTCTGCTGTTCCTCAGCACCACTCCCCCTCCCTCCCGCTGAAATTATGAATGAAAAGCGTAGTAATCATAGATAACACGGCAGGGTCCGTGACAGTTTGTTTTCATCTGATTTCAAATAAACAAAGACTTGGTTTTAAGAATATTAAACTTGTTTCGCCAAATTCAGATGATAAATACAACTTTTAAGCTTGTAAAGGCATAATTACAAGAGGCAACTTAACGTCACTGCAGGCATGACAACAGCCGGTGTTTCTTGTGAGGGTTTCCCTGGGAAACAAACACAATACACACAAATGCATCACAGATTATTTTGCGGTATTTGAAATCATGTACGCAGCTCGCGACGTAACTAGTAGTCTAGTGGACGGTATCAGTAGTACAAGTAATTAATTACGTTGTTTATAAATTAATCTGAGGGCCGCAAAAATAGGAGGTGGGGGCCACATGCGGCCCGCCATTTGCCCATCCCTGATCTAACACAATAACAACAAAGTCTGTAGCTTCAGTTGTTAAGGCCGCTACACACCAACCTGAGACCAAAGAACGCGTACCGAAGGCGTCCCGACTTTTACGTCGCCTGCGTCGGCTACGCTGCCCGCCTACGAACAAACCGCAAAGACTTCAGTCGACGAGGGGCAATAACTGTCCTTACCAGCAGGCAGCGGTAGTGTGTATTCATCATTCAAAAGAGGCAACAGCCAATCGGAGTGATTTTTTTGGCCGACTTTCTTTGGCCGATTCAACATGTTGAATCGGCCGTGAGAGGTGTGAAAATAGGGCTGTGCGATTATGGCAAAAATCATAATCACGATTATTTGGGTCAATAATTGATATCACAATTATTTTGACGATTATTCATTGACCATTTATTGAACTTTAAATCAAATAATATTTTACCAATAAACAAGATCAACAAATATGTTGGAGCGCACTTCCATATAAACATATATTAATATGATAAATAAAAATAAATTAGACCAAAATAAATTAAATCAAATATGTTGCAGTGCACTGTCACAACCTACTGAAAACTCCTTAACATATAGCCAACATTTTGGTAAAACATATTCAACATATTCCACTCAGATAAACGTTGAAGGCTGTCCAACCGTCATGGTCCAAAAGTAACAGGAAATAAATGTTGAACTACAATTTAAGAACAAATAAAAATGTTTTGGCCACCATGGCAAATGCTGGTAGGGCTGCTCATGTCATCTCTTAAAGATTTTTTGCAAGAAACACCAGCCTGTTTACATGGTCTGGTTTCAGAGATGAGCTCAGGCAGGTGACAATATTGCCACCTGTACTGAAGACCCTCTCTGAAGAGGAACTTGTGGCAGTGCTGCCACAAATGACACAGGAAAAAAAGAAAAGACTCTGAACCCTTTCTTTGCCATTATATAAAAATAGTGTTGCTACAAAAGTATAAATTAGGCTTACTAATAAGACAACTCAGATCTGAAGCTACACAGGAATCTGCTGCCGAAGTGCAATAAAAAAGACAACATTAATAGAATCAAACCCTTTTTTTGTTGCATTTTAGTAGAGTATAAAAAGAAATGCCTTTAAAATAGGATGCAAGCAACACTCGTTTCTTAACCTGAATTGATAATAGACTATAATCAATTTAAACAGAACAGATCTTAATGTTTGCATTCTTATACCATTTTGTACAATAATTGTAATGAATAAGTTCAAACAAACAAAAACTTACAGCTGATTAATAACGGTATCTAACTTGAGTTTTTATTATATCAAAAACCTGTTGAAATGCTACTGTTATTTTTACTGTCCCCCAAAAGCGCGTCGGCAGCCTCCAGGAAAGCTTCTTTCACAACTTCGCCGTCTTTGAAAGACTTCATGTGTTTCTCAAGAACGTGACTGACACGTTAAGATGCTATGCCTATGGTAGCAGCCTTGCTCTTGTTGTTGGGCCTGGTGAAAATGGACTGCTGTGCATTTAGCTGTCCTTTCAGGTCCCTCCCCTTTTGGGAGCGAAGGGCAGAATTAGGAGGGAATTCCATCTCGTAGCGTTTGTGCACTGTTTTGAAATGCCGCTCCTAAATTACCCTTCTTCGATAAAGCCACACTCGCATTGCAGATGAGACAGATGGACTTTGAATTGGAATAGATAAGGCTTTTTTGCTTCTGCCATAATTGTGGTCTTGTGTGTGTGCGAACTGTCACTCCTGTTGACACGGACAACGTCAGCGAAATAGTGCACTGCCCACCAGCCACGCCCCGAAACATGGGGTCACGCCGGCCAATCACAAAGCTTTGATGTGTTCAAGTGCATTATTCTGGCACAGGAAGATTATGTTACAGGACATCAATTATTGGCATACAGTTCGTTCATTTATTTTTCGTTCTTCATTTATTTAAATACTGTATCGGTAACAAGTGTTACACTGTTAGGCCTATTGTTACGGCTATGCTATTAAAAGTATTGTTGTTATAACAGAAATATGTGTTTTGTATCTTCAGGTTGTAAAACGTTATAGACGGAATTTGGAACCAGATTTGGTCCCCGGGCGCTGGGTTAAATGCAGAGGACACATTTAGTTTTAATGTATGCGAGTAATGAGATAATAAATAAATATAAATCGCAATAGTATGCTCTTTCTGCGCTTCTGCTTAACAGCGTGTTGTCAGGTGTCTCGGATTCGGAGCGTGTTATGAAACCTTTTGGAAAAAAGTTTTTATTAAAAAAAAAAAAAATCTCTCCGCACCGAATATTCGTTGCTGATTACTACCGAATATCCGGAGCCCGAAAAATGGTATTCGGGACAGCTCTAATATAAGTGCTTTGTTAGTAATTCTATCGCTCAAAGTGGAGTCGAAAGAGATGAGTTTTCAGTCTGCGCCGGAAGATGTGCAGGCCTTCTGCTGTCCTGATGTCAATGGGGAGCTCATTCCACCATTTTGGAGCCAGGATAGCAAACCGACATGTTTTTGCTGATGGGAACTTCGGTCCCCCTCGCAGTGCGGGTGCAGCGAGCTGTTTGGCTGATGCAGAGCGGAGTGCACGTGCTGGGGTGTACAGTTTAACCATGGGGTGTACAGTTTAACCATGTAGGAAGGATGTAGGAAGGGCCAGATCCATTCGCAGCATGGTACGCAAGTACCAGTGTCTTGAAGTGGATTCTAGCAGTTACCGGAAGCCAGTAAAGGGAGCGGAGGAGCGGCGTGGTGTGGGAAAATTTAGGAAGGTTGAAGACCAGACGAGCCGCTGCATTCTGGATGAGCTGCAGAGGACGGATGGCACATGCAGATAGACCAGCCAGACCAGAACCTGCGTCGCTTTCTGGGTCCGGTGGGGACGTATCCTCCTGATGTTGTAAAGAGTGTATCTGCAGCAGCGGGTTGTAGCAGCGATGTTTGCAGTGAAGGACAGTTTGTTATCTAGGGTCACACCCAGATTCCTTGCAGTCTGAGTCGGGGAAACAATAGAGGTGCCGATGTTGATTGTCAGGTCAAGAGTGGGACAATCTTTTCCCGGAAGGAAAAGCAGTTCAGTCTTGTCAAGGTTGAGCTTGAGGTGGTGAGCAGACATCCACTGAGAGATGTCAGCTAGACAAGCAGAGATGCGTGCAACGACCTGGGTCTCTGAGCGGGGAAAGGACAGAATTAAATTGGGTGTAGTCAGCGTAGCGATGGTATGAAAAACCATGCGGGCTAATGACAGATCCGAGCGAGTTTGTGTACAGGGAGAAGAGGAGGGGACCAAGAACAGAGCCCTGAGGGACCCCCGTAGTTAATTGACAAGGGTCGGACTCGGACCCTCTCCAAGTTACCCTGTAGGTACGGTCTTTGAGGTATGAGGTGAGGAGGGAAAGTGCAGAGCCTGAAACTCCAAGTTCTTGGAGAGTGCGAAGGAGGATCTGATGATTCACCGTGTCGAATGCAGCAGACAGGTCCAGAAGGATGATGACAGAGGAGAGGGAGGCTGCTTTAGCTGTGTGCAGTTCCTCAGATACAGCAAGGAGGGCAGTTTCTGTTGAGAGACCTGCCTTGAAACCAGACTGGTGCGGATCCAGAAGGTTGTTCT